ACTAGTGTTCACAATGATGGGGTCAGTAAGATTTTATTAATGCGTATTAAAGAAGTCTCTTCTGCTCACCAACTCTGCATTTATTTGACTAAAAATACAGTAAAATCAGCAATATTGTGAAATATTATTCTAATTTAAAATAGCTGTTTTCTATGTGAATATATAGTAAAGTGTAATTTATTCCTGGGATCAAAGCTGAATTTTCAGCATCATTACTCCAGTCTTCAGTGTCACATGATCCTTCAGAAATCACTCTAATATGAGGATCTGATGCTCAAGAAACATTTATGATTATTATCAATGTTGAAAACAACTTCATATTTTTGTGGAAACCGTGATACATTATATTGTTGAAACAATAAAAGTATTCATTTCTAACTGACCCGAGACTTTTAAAGGGTAGTGTGTACATCTTTAACTTGCTTCATGAACAGCTAAAAATAAACTATAATACCAGCTTCAGATTTGAAACAGTCAAATGACTGTAAACACGGTTTCAATGTTTCTAGGAAATGAAAGTGTTTGAAATGATTGTCTGTGATGTTGGAAAACATGCCAACTGCTCTTCATAGTTATAAATAACCTGGAGTATTTACAAAGATTTGTCAGTAATTGACTGTGAATAATGATGTTGTTTAAAACGACAGTGGATCTCTCTCGTCTCTTCATTTTAGTCCATTAGAGTTCTCAAGTTTTACTTTTACATTTGCATGCATCATATGCATTTAGCTTTTAGACAACAAAGCCTGGACTGTGTTTGTACTGTATTCACAGCATTATAGGTATTTCATCTCTATTAAAGTGCCCCTAATATGCTTTCTCAGATATTCCCTTTCATGCAGTGTGTATTAAAGCTGTGTGTGAATGTAAAAGGTCTGCAGAGTTTCATCAAAGTGCAGATAAATGGAGATTTTGTCTCCTAAAAGAGACGAGAAACGAGTCGTCAGTAATTCAGTCTCACTTCCTGCTGAACCTGCGCAGGTTTGGAACTAATTAGCATAATGCCAGCCTCTGGTCTTGATTGGCTGAACAGCGTCTCTTAGCTCCGCCCTCAAACACTAGTGTATCTGAGACTGGGAGAGTTCGTGTTGTTCGTGTCGAGAAGACGCTGTTTTCTGCTGACAAAGCAAATCCACTGTGATGAGATTGATACGGTAAACCCACGCCATCGTTACTGTCCGTATCACTGAGTATCAAGAGCTGACATTCAGATATGATAATGAGCGTTTGGTTTCTGACCAATCAGAGCAGAGCAGCTCTCAGAGAGGCGGGGTTTAGAGAGACTGAATCTTCAAATGAACCGTTTCAGACGCTGAGAGAAAAGAGCTGATGCTGCAGTGTATGAGGAAAATTAAACCTTGGATGCATGTAGACCTATTATAGGAGACTCCAAAACAACATTATGAATCTTTAAAATAGCATAATAGGGTTTCTTTAAGACTCTATCTACACTGGAATGAAATAGATACTTAAATTGAATAAAATACCTTCAGATGCACATGAACTAAGACTGAGATCCAGTTAATAAAAGCATTTCTCAAAGTCCATGACAGCAGTGAGAGAATATAATGAGTTCAACTGTAGAATATCTTTCTTTTCTTATAAAAGAACAAAATCACTTGAGTGTCAGTTTGAGAGGAGAAGCTTCAAAGAGCGCCTGTGTGTTTTTCCTCTCACGCCTCTGAAGTATTTGGAGAGTTTCGGTCTGTTTTAATGAAGTGTGTTGAGATGGAGAAGAAAAGAACACATATTATTTATGTGTCTTCTGTGTTTGACTCTTGAGGACGTTACAAAGGCTTTTGCTGTAATAACCCGAGGAACAGTAAACTGGACTTTTCTTCTGAAATCTAAATAAAATTGTCCCGATTTGCGTCCTTGAATCACGCTCTTGTGAATGATTCATCAGTGCATGTGTTTCCAAAGTGGAAATATTTGTCATCATAATCTTTCATCAAAATATAATACGTTTCGGGTGGTTTGTTTGTATGGACAGGAACTAGATTTGACTATTTCATGTGTGAATTGTACCTTTGTTTGTTATAGCTGAAAAATAAGAGACCTTGATTAAAAAAAATATATAATAACTTTCTCCACCTCTGAAACTATTCTTTCCTTTTCAGCTGACATCATCTGGACTGCACAGGTTATTGTTATTATCGTTAACTTAAAAATTAAAAAAATTTATCGTCCAGCCCTAAATCGTGTGTAGTTTTTCGTTAGTGTTTATTTAAAAACATCAACATTATGCAGAATATACGATGGGAAATATTGAATTGATGAGTTGTCAATATAATATACAACAATACAATATCGGGAATGATTTTACCCCTAAATTCAGCATATTGAGACTAAATGAAACTGCAAATCCAGCTTTCTCGGTCTGGATCCAGATGTTTCTGCGATTCATTTGCTTCTCTGATCTGTAGCTTTCAGCAGTTTGTAACAATAAACCTCAGATTTCTTGTCAAATCTAGTTTTACCGTCAATCTCAAAGATCTTCCCCGTTTTAGATGTGTTTAGTGTGTTTTTCGTGCTGAAAACCAATCAGACTTTTTGCCACTCGGTGTGTGTGACCGCAGTCACTCGGCCGACGGTGACGTCACACACATATGCTCTATTAACCTAACACACACACATGATTTAAACTCGGTAAACTTTGCAGATTTCAGCTTTAAATGAACCCTCTGGTGCTCTTTACGTGTCCGTCAAAAATGACAGAATTATTTATTTATTTTTTCAACGCAATTAATTTACTATATTTTAGTTTGATAATGTTTTTTGATTAATATTTTGTATTTTTAGGGGATTTTATGGTACTAAATTATATTTACGCTGTATTTATAATCCATTTATTCACTTTTTGAGCGTAGACCTGAAAATGTAAATGAAACTGTGGTAAATCTTGAATGCTTTAGCGCACAGACTGAAGTATGATCTCTTTTCAAACACTTTGCAGATTATTGCTGACGTGAAAAAAGTTTTAAAAAGTGAACAAAAAAAAGTTACAGAATTTTACGTTTATTGTTATGAAACGTGCAGAAATACTATTTTAAATTTTTATATGAAATATATATTTTCAAAAACATGTTTTACTCTAAAACTGTGAGAAAATCAAGGCCATAAATCTAAACAAGGCCATTTATTTAAAAAAAAGGGGCTTTCCATGTGTTCGGCTGCAGTACCAAACGCTTCCACTAGAGGAAACTCGTCTCCATTCATTTCCAATGCGCTCATTTTTGACCACGAGGATCACAAGTGTGACTATTTTCAGGACCATTTAACCTGTTCAAATCATGTCCATGATTTTTTTTTTTTTTTTGCATTTACACAGCAAGTGCTAAAACCTTTGACCAAGTTTCATAGAATTCCGATGAAGAAAAAAATTCAACAAAAAAAACCCAAATGTAACATTTTTCTGAAGAGCACCAGAGGGTTAAACCTGTTGATTTCTTTTCTAAATCAACCTATTTATTCACTTTTTGAGATTAGACCTGAAAATGTAATTTCCAACTTAAACTGTGGTAAACTTGAATGCTTTAGAGCACAGACTGAAGTTGGATCTCTTTTCAAACACTTTGCAGATTATTAATGAAGTGAGAACAGTTTTAAAAAGTGAGCAAAACAAGTTACAGAATTTTATGTTTATTGGGTCTCATTCATGAAACTTTCGTAAATATACGAGTAAATATGAGAGTGATTTGCGCGTAAAGAGACCTTCCCGAAAACTCCTCTCCTGATTCACAAATACTTCGTAAACGTCAGATGTGATAGTGAAATGTGTGTGTGTGTGTGTGTGTGTGTGTGTTAATGAATTCCACTCAGTCGTAAATGGGACGCGCGTGCACGCTCATTCTCAATTACCATAAATCCCGCCCATTAAATCCGACTGACAACTATATATGCGCATCATATTATGACACCGAACGAAGGATTTCAACATGTCTTCTCAAAAGCGAATGAAAAAGAAAAATTTCTCAGATGCAGAAATCGAAGTTTTATTATCAGAAGTTCATTCAAAACGCCACATTTTATCTTCAAGCGTAGACTACAAAGTGGCGTATCAGGTCCTAAATAAAGCAAGCATATTACAGATGCAGTTACTGGAGTTTTATCTGTTAATCAAACAGTCCCAGAGTAAAAAGAAAAACCGCATGTAATTACTATATATAATATTTTTTCAAAATGCTGTGTAAATATGTACCCGATTAAGGTGAATTAAAATGCAGCCTTATTAATGAGCAAAACATTCGGATGTTAAACGCACTGTTTACGCGTGGCTGGGAGCAGGTGTAGATTTCTTTCCTACCAACTAACATTTGGAAAATACCAACATTTTAATAAATCCGAAAATGTACGCCAGAACCACTTTACACACGATTTACACAAAAATTCATTCCGCTCGTGTCTCATGAATGAGACCCAATGTTATGAAAGATGTGCAAAAATACTATTTTTAAATTTTTTTCAGGACCATTTAACCTGTTCGTGTCATGTCTATGATTTTTTGTTTTTTTTGCTTTTTTGCGTTCACACAGCTAGTGCTAAAAAGTTTCGGACCATTCTGATGAAAAAATTATTTAAAAAAAAAAAAAAAAAAAAAAATTTCCGAAGAGCACTTAAACCTGTTGATTTTAAACTGAAGGTCAACTTCAAAAGACAATTAAAACATCATTTTTTCTTAACCTATATCTAATTATTCGAAACTGATTTTCATGGATTACTGGGATGTATGTGTATGTTTGTATGAGCGAGTATGTTGTTGTAACATATGTCATGATACATTTTGTGTGTATTTATTGTGTCTCACTGTACCTTGTCAGTATCTACCCATTCAAGAACTATGGGCCCCTATTTATAAGCTTTTTTTTGCTTCTTTGGGAGACCCATTTCACTGTACCCAATCTACTCTGTACCTTTAAAACTGTATTATTGAAATGCTTGAAGAGGTACTGTGAATAAATTGAACTGAACTGAAAAAATTTGTTTCTCCTGTCTGACAGGCGTGACTGAAGCCGAGACTCTGGTGACCGTCCGGAGAGTGACCCATCCTCCCGTACGCCGCCCGCTGGCAGAGTCTGCGCTCCTCCCGTGTGTGTTCACCCTGACGCCAGCCCTCGTCCCGGGACACGGCCCCTACATCCACTGGACCCGCGGCTCCGGAGCCCAGGAGCGGACGGTGCTGTCGGCCCGGGACGGGGTGGTCCGGGTTCACCAGGCGTACGCGGGTCGGGTCAGTCTGCCCGGATACTCCGACAACCACCTGAACGTGTCGCTGGCGCTCCATCAGCTCCGCTCCAATGACTCCGGGACTTTCCGATGCCACGTCGCTCTGGGAGACAGTTATGAGCAGGACACAGTCAACCTGGAAATCACAGGTGAGATCCAAACTGTTAAGTGTCGCCCCCCTTTTTTGAATATACATGAAAATGCACATTTCAAACTTAAATGGTTGTAATTCAAGAATTCTTTGGAATATAGATGTAAGATTGGTCTTGTTTTAAGGAAGACATTTGGCAGATTTTTGTAGAAGTGAAATAAATTAAGAAAGTGAAACAGAAAAAAAGTTATAGAAGTTTGAGTTTATGGAAATGTACAATGTAAAAAAATTAATTATTCTTATTTAATATAAAATATATATTTTCAAAACCTGGGGGACTCTAAAACTGCAGAAAATACAAAGCCAAAAATCTGAACAAGTTGTGTTTCAAATTTTAGGTTGATATCTCAGTAAATGAGCTTTCAGTGAGAGTGTGTGTGGGCGCAGTACCGAACGCTTCCACTAGGGCACAGACTCCATCACTGCCCATATAAGGGCGCCGCCATTTCCATATGTGTTTTGAGTGATATGAACCATTATTTCCACAATTTTCATACAATTTATGAAGTAGAGATCCTATTCAGAAGTAGTGAGGGAAGTTTGGCAGATTTTGATAGGAATTCAACCTCTATGAAACACATACAAAGAATAAATATGTGCGTTATAGCTCGCCGCCACATCACAAATGGTGAATTTATAATTTTTTTCTTTATATTTAAAACATTTTCAGACCTTTTTTTCTAAAATAATTGAATGGATGCTGTCTTTTGAACTGAAAACAAATGAAAACAAACTGAGGTTTCTTCCATTCTTTCATGATTTTTCATGTTCATTGCTATTTCAAAATAAAGGTCTGAACACGCCTTAGGAGTATGAAAATATTGTTGTTGCAAATTGATAAATTACGGCTCCTCTGTAATTTATTTTTGAAAATTCATTCTTAGTTCATGTTAACTACGGTCGTTGACTAATGTTAACTAATGAATCTTATTGTAAAGTATTTTATAAAAGTACACACAGGATAAAATATGATTGAAACGGTGTTGTTATTGTCAATTGAAATAAAGCTGAAATAGACTAAAATGTAAATATTAGATGATAAAGTTTAATTATTAAAAATAAAACTGAAACAAATATAAATTTAAGCTAAATAGAAATATAAAAAAATGATAAAAATGATAATAACAAACAAAAAATCACAAAAACTTAAAATGGAAATGTATAATTATTCGTTTTTTTATCATTTAAAATTAATTTTTTATTAAAAAATATATAATATTTTTTTATTTATTTATAATATTTATCAAATATTATATATTTTTTAAATCTTATTTACATAGCACTTTTTGCAATAGACCTTGTTTCAAATTAGCTTTACAGAATTTGTGAAACAAGGGCTAGAAATGAACAGTTTGAATCTATAATTATTTTTAACAATACATTTATATTTAATTGTTATTGTTATAAAACTGATTAAAAAAAAATATATAAATGCATAATATTTTGGTGTTTTCAAAAATAATTGTATAATATTTATAAAATATTGTAATTTTTATAATATGTTATTTATATGGCACTTTTCCCAATGGACATTGTTTCAAATGAGTAGTACAGGAAAGCATTACAGTAATAATGTAAGACGCTCAGTTAGCAGTTGAATTAAAAGAAAATGAAAGCTTAAATCCCCAGTGAGCGAGTCCAGCTCGTTATGACAGTCGTTTGGCTAAAGTAAAAGGCTGAAGTGAAACGTGAGCACATCTTAAACCAGAACATCAGTTCTCAGATTCAGATCCTCAGAGTCAGCTGTGAATGAATTACCCCTCATTACATCGACTCACACTGTCAATATCATATCAGTTGAGCTTTTTCCCTAATTCCCCTCATTTCCCGTCTAACTTTAGCTCGGCTTTATTTTCATTTTCATCTGAGGATCTAATTAACTGCTTAATTGGCCATAATAACTTTAATTAGAAGGATCTGAGAATGTGAGTTCTGCTGCAACAGATCATGAAAACAGGTGACGCTTAACAAGAGAAATTACAATTACAGCAGATAAATCCTCTGAAGTGTTCTACATATATAATGTACATGCTGTAAAAGACAATGATATTCGGGAATATTACTGGGAATTGATCTGGACAATGACTTTAAAGGTTGGAATAAACGACATGATTTTTGCTCAGATTCTTTGCAACAATACGCTGATTTCACGCAGACGCCATTTTGAAATGGCTCCGGCGGGAAGAAAACCGGAAGTGTCCCTTTAATCACAGGAGAGTCGCGAATGCGATGGCGTATTGTTGTGTTTAATGTAGAAATTAATTATTCTAAAAATGTACGTACATTTCTTTCATACTTTTTAGAATATATACGGTGAAATTCATTTATAAATATATATATTTTTTTATATATAATTCAGAACGTAAAAAAAGTATAGACATATCCTATATTGGATATTAACATCCAATAGTGTAAATCGCGGCAGGAGCTTCAGGTTGGGAGTCCAAGGCACTGTTGTCTATCTGTACTTCCGGGGTTCTTCCCACCGGAGCCTCGCTTTCGATTTCAAAATGGCGGCAGCGTGAAATCAGCGTATAGTTGGCAAAAGTCTGCAGATTTTTGGGCGGTCGGAGTCGACAGATTTAGCAGAAATTGACGTGGTGTATGATGGACAAATACTTGGTTTCAGACAGAGATCACGATTCTGAACTAAACAAAACAACGTCATTTACTAGAGGTTCAGATAAAAATGTTAATTGCTGCAGTTTGTTTAAAATGTTTAAAGAGCAACGTGCAGGTTGAATTTATAACTGAATTAATACTTGATATTGTCTGAAGAGGTCTTTTAAAAACAACATATGTAGAAATTACTAATAAAATCTCATTTGATGTAGAAATTTTGATGAAAATATGCTAGGCTCTGGAATACGCCTTTCCCGCTAGCAACGCGTCATATGACGTAGGCCGAGGCAAACAAGAGCTCGCGGTCAGCTGTAGTTAGAGCGGTAGTGAGAGACAGAGAAAGTTTTAGATCGAGTTTTAGAGATGCCATGATGGTAAATTGTTGTGTTTGTGCTGGTTGCACGAATTCCAGTCTGTCAGGACATCGTGTCCATCATTTTCCTTCCAGGAAAAACAAGGCTTTTCGTTCTTGGGTGCGTTTTGCGCAGGTGAAGAGAGCAGACTTCACTGCCGCGTCTGTCACCACACACTCTGTCGTTTGTAACGCACATTTCACTCCGGAGATTTATAGACCTGGAGATTTTTTGCATCACAGACAGATGGTTTAATTAATACGGCTTTGCAAACATTGCATTTTGCTGTCTTGCTCTGCGGTGTTTCCAGTGTGAAGTATTTACACACAGCTCAATGCTGGCTGCAAACTGCGTAATGGATTTCCTGAGGGGGGTCTCTGTGTCTCATTGAGCCGCGCCTCCGTTCAGGAAATCCATTCCACAGTTTGCACTTGCAGCCAGCTAGCAGACTGGCCGGCGGGAATCACTTTTGGAGTCATTTCAGCAGGATATCGGATATCTCCACAGGTTGGATCGGGAAAATCCGTTACATGAATTACACTGGTATCTGTCCTGATACCGACACTGGATCGGATCGGCCCCATCCCTACCTGTGGGCCATAGGCATGCTCGTCAACATCGGAGAACTCGGTTTCTTCATTCACATCCATTGTAACCTGAGCTTGAACTTGACCAGACTCCCTCGCCCATCGTCACTTCCGGTTAGTGCTTTATAGACGCGGAAGTTATTTTATCACAATTTATCTCAAAATATCGTTAATGGCTAAATATATATTACTCCAGTTCAGAAAATCTAGTTGTTTTATCATCAACATACACTATGCTATATAGGGGTGTCCAACCTGCATGTTGCTCTTTAATTAATCTGAGTTATTTAAAAAAAAAAAAACTGGGTTGAGTGAATGATTCAATGACTCACTCATAAATCCTTCACTTGGTTCATTACTGGATGAATCAGCGCTTTGTGAACGAATCTCTTGAATGAATGATTCAATGACAAACACATGTTAACACTCACTTGTCGCCGCCTACTGGTGTAACGATGTAATTAACACATCTTTATTTGAAGCATGACGTTACTTTCAAAAGGCGATTTGCTCTATTTTGATCACAATCGTAGACATCAGTGTTTATATCCGAACTATAAACTTTTATCTCAGTTCTTCTGTGATAATCTGAAATATTGTTGGCTAACACAAAAATAATAATATACACACACTGTGACACACACATGGGTGCCGGAAGCAAAAAAAAAAAGTGTGTGGGTCCTTTCCTAGAAAAATGTTACTGGAGTAAATAAATGTAATTTCATGTATTCTGGTGCCTTATAATTAAACAAATAAAAAACTAAACTCCGCTTCACGTCGTGGATTAAATGCACAGCTATCCGTGGATTATCCCGCTGATACCATGATCATTTGCCAGCGCTGACAACTTAAAGCTGTTATTGATGTTTGCAAGATCAGTCAGTGGGGACTGTGTTCTTCCGCGATTTACAAAATCTTTTGGTCAGTCTAGTTTCTCTTTTAATGGATCGAGACTATGGATCTCTCTGCCCACTGAACTAAAATTGCAGACAGATATGAATGATCAGCTTTGACAGAGGTCTGAAACAATGGCTGAGGTCAAGTCAAAGCTGTACACATGGTAACACTGTATGAAATGAATATTGATGATGTGTATTGTTTACTTTCTTAAATATTGTATTGTGTACTGTTTTTGTACTGTGTTTTGTGAAAGTGTGTAGCTTTCTATGGACAAGTGTTGCAAATTAGCAGTTTTGCTATAACACGAAAAACAATGTATCTGGTTTGTCCAATACTGTTGTTATGTCCATATCAAATAAACAAAACAAACAAAACAAAAAACGCAATATTTGTCTGGAAGGGTAAAACTGGCGGCTATTTCGGTCAGTTGCGGCTCGTTGAGAAATATAATGATTCAGCAGAAATGGAGTTTAATTTAAAATCAAGTGGAATGGATTTGACTGACGGCGCTCTGAAAAGCGAACAGACATATGCGCTGAATTAGAGACGGTAAAAGTGAGTTTGTTCAATATCATTGGTCTTAAAGTGGGTGGGTCTTGTCCCACCCATATACAATGGTTCCGACGCCCATGCACACACACACACACACACACACACACACACACACACACACACACATACCATATGTTATATAAACAAACTTTTATGTTAGATGCAATTAATCAATTTGACATACATACCTACATGCATACATACACTCACCGGCCACTTTATTAGGTACCCCATGCTAGTAACGGGTTGGACCCCCTTTTGCCTTAAGAACTGCCTCAATTCTTCGTGGCATAGATTCAACAAGGTGCTGGAAGCATTCCTCAGGGAGTTTGGTCCATATTGACATGATGGCATCACACAGTTGCCGCAGATTTGTCGGCTGCACATCCATGATGCGAATCTCCCGTTCCACCACATCCCAAAGATGCTCTATTGGGTTGAGATCTGGTGACTGTGGAGGCCATTTTAGTACAGTGAACTCATTGTCATGTTCAAGAAACCAATTTGAAATGATTAGAGCTTTGTGACATGGTGGAAGTAGCCATCAGAGGATGGGTACATGGTGGCCATAAAGGGATGGACATGGTCAGAAACAATGCTCAGGTAGGCCGTGGCATTTAAACGATGCCCAATTGGCACTAAGGGGCCTAAAGTGTGCCAGGAAAACATCCCCCACACCATTACACCACCACCACCAGCCTGCACAGTGGTAACAAGGCATGATGGTTCCATGTTCTCATTCTGTTTACGCCAAATTCTGACTCTAACATCTGAATGTCTCAACAGAAATCGAGACTCATCAGACCAGGCAACATTTTTCCAGTCTTCAACTGTTCAATTTTGGTGAGCTCTTGCAAATTGTAGTCTCTTTTTCCTATTTGTAGTGGAGATGAGTGGTACCCGGTGGAGTCTTCTGCTGTTGTAGCCCATCCGCCTCAAGGTTGTGCGTGTTGTGGCTTCACAAATGCTTTGCTGCATACCTCGGTTGTAACGAGTGGTTATTTCAGTCACTGTTGCCCTTCTATCAGCTCGAACCAGTCTGGCCATTCTCCTCTGACCTCTGGCATCAACAAGGCATTTCCGCCCACAGAACTGCCGCTCACTGGATGTTTTTTCTTTTTCGGACCATTCTCTGTAAACCCTAGAGATGGTTGTGCGTGAAAATCCCAGTAGATTAGCAGTTTCTGAAATACTCAGACCAGCCCTTCTGGCACCAACAATCATGACACGTTCAAAGTCACTCAAATCAACTTTCTTCCCCATACTGATGCTTGGTTTGAACTGCAGGAGATTGTCTTGACCATGTCTACATGCCTAAATGCACTGAGTTGCCGCCATGTGATTGGCTGCTTAGAAATTAAGTGTTAACGAGCAGTTGGACAGGTGTACCTAATAAAGTGGCCGGTGAGTGTATATTCATATACACATATACACATACATGTATGTTTATATATGTAACATCTTGTTCCTTCGTATGTCTCTATATGTAACATCTTGTTCCTTCATATGTCTCTATGTACAGTGGAATAACAAAAAAATCTAATTCATCTTGACTTGATATCACAGCCAATATTATAAAATCTGAAATGTTTTGACTGCTTTAAAAAAAAAAATCAGGTATAACAATCAGGCAGATTATTAAAGAAACCCTAATAATAAGATAAGATAAGATATACTTTATTGTCCCCGAAGGGAAATTTGTTTTGGACTGTCCCTTCCGCAGTTTTTACAAAGACAACACAAAGTACAAAATACAAAGAACAGACGTCTCTCAACACATCCTCTCACAAACATGTTCTCATATACATTAGATAGGTACGTATATAGTAGAGACTAACACCTTTCATTGGAAGGTAAAAAAACAAAAAACAATTTCCAACCATTATTGATCACAGCTCCCATATTGCACATCCCCGATGGTATACATATTGCACTTCTCAATGGTATACATATTGCACATCCCCGATGGTATTGATATTGCACATTGCACAATGTGCAATATTGTCCAACAGCACCCACTGTCCGAGAGCGTTCCCTGTGTCGGTCCACAGAGAGCGTTCTCCGTTCAGGACCTGTGTGTTGATGTGTGTGTCTGTGTTCTCAGGTGTGGTGTTTCACTACCGCTCTCCTGCGGATGGATATTCCCTGTCGTATGCGGAGGCCGTTGGAGCGTGTGAGGATAATTCGGCTCAGATCGCATCGGTTGAGCAGTTGTGGGCCGCGTTTCACTCCAGTATGAACAACTGTGAGGCCGGCTGGCTCAAAGACCAGAGCGTCAGGTCAGCAACACCAGGAAAACACAGTTAACCACCAGTAAACCACAGTTAACCACCAATAAACCACAGTTAACCACCAGTAAACCACAGTTAACCACCAATAAACCACAGTTAACCACCAGTAAACCACAGTTAACCACCAGTAAACTACTCGGTTACTATCGTAACCTCAGTTCCCTGAGAGAGGGAACGAGTATTGCGTAGCTATACGCAGTGGGGAAACTCCTTTTCCTCGATTTACTGAAACCTATATGTAAAACGCATTTGCAGCTGCACAGCCAGCACACTGAGCGTCTGGCACGCTCATAGGCTGTGCTGCCGCAACTGCACAACCAATGGCGCGGGCGACTCTGACCTGCAGCCAATGAGCTAGCTCAACGTCAGAGCCCGTCAAGGGGGTGTGGCTTAGCCTATAAAAGACCCCCGAATTCGCCATTATAGCAGGTTTAAACGACTGAAGCGACAACTTCACCAGTTACTAAATGCGGCCGGCTACGCAATACTCGTTCCCTCTCTCAGGGAACTGAGGTTACGATAGTAACCGAGTAGTTCCCTTTCGAACGGTCACTTCGTATTGCGTAGCTATACGCAGTGGGGACGCCCTGTAAAACGCCGCACCCTTAGTAACTGGTTGCACTGCAACTCAGGCCCCCTGAGCTAACAGAACAAGCCAGAACCCAATAAATAAATATATATATAACAGGCCACTGTCAGGCCTGAATAATATATAAGAGTAAGTAACAACCAACAGAATATGCTAACAAACCCCGACACTGTCGGGATTATTAGTACAATTCATAACCGGCCTAAGCGGGTTTTATATATGTATGTATGTGATTATGCAAAGTAATTTTTTGTAGACAAGACCAGACAGCATCGAGTCTTAATCATACTGAAAGAACCTTCGCCTGCAGGGAAGGCACCTCCATATTATAGAACTTCATAAATGTGGAAGGCGAGGACCAGCCGGCCGCATCACAAATATCTTGAATGGGAAACCCAGATGACCACGCCCATGACGAGGCCATGCCTCTAGTCGAATGGGCCCTGACACCTATAGGGCAAACCTGACCCACTGAAGTATAAGCCATAGAAATGGCATCCACTATCCATCTAGACAGTCTTTGCTTGGTAACTGGACCACCCTTAGATCGGCCACCAAAGCAGACAAACAGCTGTTCTGACTGTCTAAAAGACGCAGAACGCTCCAGATAGACTCTCAGCGCCCTAACAGGGCAGAGAAGATTAACCTCCCCATCCTCAGCAGAAGGGGGAAGGGCTAATAGCGTGATAACTTGCGCTCTAAACGGCGTTGAGAGCACCTTGGGTATGTAATCATGCCTGGGTTTGAGAATGACTCTGGAGTCATCCGCTTCAAACTCCAAACATGAAGGACTCACAGAAAGGGCCTGCAGATCTCCCACTCGCTTGATAGATGCCAATGCCAACAGGAGAGCAGTCTTAAGCGAGAGTGGTTTTAGATCCACCGACCGGAGCGGTTCAAAAGGCGGCCCCTTCAGGGCCCTGAGGACCGTGGAGAGGTCCCAGGGAGGTACTGATGGGGGCCTGGAGGGGTTAATTCTCCTAGCGCCCTTCAGAAATCTTACCACCAGGTCATTTCTTCCCAGTGATTGACCAGCCCCCAACGCATGATGCGCTGCGATGGCTGCCACATAAACTTTGAGCGTGGACGGGGTGCGGCCCGCGTCCAGTAGCTCCTGCAGGAAGGAGAGTACCACCGATACCTCACATGACTCTGGGTCAACTCGATTTTTCGAGCACCAGCTGGAAAAACCCGACCACTTCAAAGCATAAAGACGCCTAGTAGACGGGGCCCTTGCTTCAGAGATAGTGCTTAAGACCTTGTCAGGAAGGCCCCCGGGTACCCGTTTAGGGGCCACACATGGAGGGCCCATAAATCGGGTCGGGGGTGCCATATCGTCCCTTTGGCCTGTGTGAGGAGGTCCCTCCTCATTGGAACGGGCCAGGGGACCGTGTCTGACAGCTGAACCAGCTCCGGAAACCATGGTCTGGATTTCCAGAGAGGAGCCACTGGGACTGGGCATCCGCTCTCCCTGACCCGTTCGATGACTTGTGGGACCATCGAGATGGGGGGGAAAGCATAAAGGGGGCGGTTGGGCCAGGGATGGGCCAGCGCGTCCCTGTTCTTCGAGAAAAACACCCTGCAGTGGGTGTTGGCTCTCGAGGCGAAAAGGTCGATTTCGGCCTCGCCGAATCTCTCCCATATCAGACTGACCGTCTGAGGGTTCAGAGACCACTCGCTTAGGGGAGTGTTGCCCCGTGAGAGCATATCCGCGCCCAGATTTTGGACGCCCGGGATGTGCGCTGCTCTCAGGGAGCTCAGGTTGGCCTGTGCCCATAGGAGGAGGTCCCTCGCCATAGCATGCAGGTTGCCCGACCTGATGCCACCCTGGCGATTTATGTAGGCCACCACTGACATGTTGTCCGTACGGACCAGGACATGGTGACCCCTGAGGTTTAACAGAAATGCTTTCAGGGCCAAACCAACTGCTTTCATTTCCAGACAGTTGATATGTAAGCTCTGCTCCGTGCTCGACCAGAGGCCGGAGGCAGGCCTGCCCTCGTGCAGCGCTCCCCAACCCAGGTTGGATGCGTCTGTAAAAACCACCTTCCTCCTGGAAACTACCCCCATGGTCACCCCCTCGCGGTACCAGTCCTGAGCCCGCCAGGGAATCAGTGTTCTTAAACACCCGTGATTCACCATAATGCGCAGGCTGCCTGACTGCCATGCATGGGTTGGCACACGGCGTTTCAGCCAGTGCTGCAGCGGGCGCATGCGCAGTAATCCCATGTGGAGTACTGATGATGCGGCTGCCATTAGACCAAGCAGTTTCTGAAACCTCTTCAGAGGCGCGCGCTCGCGCGCCCTGAATGCGGCTGCCAGTGTCTGCACAGATAGCGCGCGCTCTTGAGTGAGCCGCGCTTTCATTGTCACCGAGTCCAAAACCGTGCCCAGAAAGACCACAGTCTGGCTGGGGTTCAGTTCGCTTTTCGCAACATTGATTGTGAGACCCAGGCATTTTAAATGGCCGAGAATCAAATCCCTGTGAATTATTAGTTCGTCTCTCGACTGCGCTAGCACCAGCCAGTCGTCGAGATAATTCAGCACACGCACTCCCTGGCTTTTTAGCGGGGAGAGCGCTGCATCCATACATTTCGTGAATGTACGGGGTGCCAGACACAGACCGAACGGCAGAACGGTGTATTGATATGCCCTCCCCTCGAAGGCGAATCTCAAGAATGGCCTGTGACGAGGGTCGATCTGAATATGAAAGTATGCATCTTTCAGATCCATTGAAACAAACCAATCCCCCGGGCGAACTTGCGCGAGAATTTGTTTGAGTGTTAACATTCTGAAAGGCCGTCTCATGAGAGCCCTGTTCAAACGTCTCAGATCTAGTATGGGTCTGAGCCCGCCGTCTTTCTTTGGAATTAGAAAATAGCGGCTGTAAAACCCCGAATACATTAGCGCGGGAAGGACTGACTCTATCGCTCCTTTTGCTAATAAATTCTGAACTTCGGTGCGAAGCACGTGACCCACGCCGCTTCTCACCGATGTCTCGATAACCGCCTGGAATTTCGGGGGTCTGCGAGCGAATTGGAGCGAGTAACCTCGCTTTATAGTGTTTATGATCAATCTCAACTCGACACACTAGGGATGGCTTGCCAGGCCAACGCCCGTGTGGCTAGGGCTTGACACACTAAATGGGGGGATTGCCTAACATAGGGGGACCTGATACCCTTACACTGTGATTTGTGCACATACTGAGTGTTTGACTGATTATACCGGCTTTTGCCCGGGGGGATTTCAGTCTTACAACAGGGCGGGGGCCGCCTAGTGAAGGGGGACCGTGAACCCGTGTGATGTGATTGTGAAACATACTCTTTTTGTGCTTTATTTGGGTCGCCGTGAAAACGGCGTTTGTTTGCAAAGACGCGCTCACTGCTGCGGGCCTGTTTACAATAATAAAATCCCCAGCCGCCTGAACTGAACAGGGAGCTGTGGGAAGTTTTGCCGGTTTTTTCGAGGGTGGTCCGGCTAGCGCGAGACACGAGCCCTCTCTCTTTCCTCTCCGTGCTAGGACGACTTCGGAGGCACCTGGTCGGCCGCGGCGCTGGGTCGAGGGCCTTGACGCCTGGGGAGCGGGTAGCGCTTCGCGGGCCTTGGCTGGCGTTGGCTATCAGCCGCAGGGCGGGGCTGAGAGGCCTGTTTCACCGGCTTGGCTGGATGAGGCGAAGGCGGCGGCTTGGGCTTGCTGGTCGCGGAGCTCGAACGTTTCGGCAAGAAGTGTCGCATGGCCTGGGACGCTTTCTGTGCCTCTGTGTACCTCTCCGAGAATCCTTTCACCGCCGGGCCGAAGAGCCCGGAGCTGGACACCAGGGCGTCGAGAAACCTCGTTCTGTCGGCGTCCTTAATCTCGGTGAGGTTAAGCCAAAGATGGCGCTCGAGCACGACCAAGCTCGCCATGTTTCTTCCGATGGCCTGTGCTGTAGCCTTAGTAGCACGCAGCGCTAAGTCTGTAGCACTCCTCAGGTCTCGAAAGGTCTCCGGGTCCGGGCCATTCTCGTCCATGGACCGGAGGAGTTTGGCCTGGTAGACCTGCAACACGGCCATCGTGTGCAGGGCCGATGCAGCCTGACCGGAGGCGGAGTACGCGCGTCCAGCGAGGGCTGAGGTGTTTCGGCAGGGTTTGTTGGGATGAGCGGCTCTAGCTCGCCAGCTAGCTGCAGTGCTCGGGCAAAGATGAGCTGCCACGGCCTCTTCGAGGGGCGGCAAAGACTCATAACCCTTTTCCGCTGCGCCATCCACGGAGGAGAGCGTCGCGGAAACTGCAGATCCCACACGTGCTGAGTATGGAGCGCGCCAGGCCTTGGTTAGCTCCTCGTGGACCTCGGGGAAAAATGGCGCCGGTTTGTGACGCGGGGCCTGCTGGCGCCCCTCCAGAAACCATCCATCCAGCCGACTACGAGGCGGCTCCTCGGGCGAGGCCCACTCTAGCTCGAGGTCCGCGACGGCCTTCGTCAGGATCCGAAGCATTTCGGCGTCGGAGTTTGTCCTGGTCGCTAATCCACTGGCCACAGATTGAGAAGCGGAGACGGGGTCGAGAGAGCCCGGCCATTCGTCCTCAGAAGCGGCGATGGATATGCTGTCGTCGCGCTCGAGAGATCCGCCGAAGGAGACGAGGCCCGCCACGTGTGGGGGGGGGGGGCGCTGGTCTCCTGTGAACAGGACCGGTGAAGGCGTTTGAGTCGGAGAAAGTGAAGCACGCGGGGACGCGGCCGGCGTGCGTTCACCAATCTCCATACCCTCCGGTTGCCGTTGGCTGCGACGCTTCTTCTTCCTCGGAATGGGAAGCGTGGTTGAAGCGGCATCGCCGTCTCGAGAGAGAGCTAGCCGATTGCGCAGCACGGAGATAGGCATGCAGTCGCAGGCCGCACATCCGCCGACAGAGAGTGCATTCTCCGCGTGGTCGACACCCAAGCAGGAAACGCAGCTCTCGTGTTGGTCTGCCTCGTGCAGACGGCCTCCGCACGTGGCGCAGGATGAACGAGGCATTCTGAAACAAACACAATAATAGAAAGGATATAGGATGTCGCCGGATAGCCACAGGTGAGACGGCGTCAGGAGACGACGGCTTGCAGGCGAAGTCTGCTGAAGAGAAGCTCGCTCAGGCTGAAAGGCTTGTTCGACGGCGAATTCACAGTAAAAGGCTCAGGGACATGTATACTGTCGCTGAAGGAGTAAAATCTGCTATAATGGCGAATTCGGGGGTCTTTTATAGGCTAAGCCACACCCCCTTGACGGGCTCTGACGTTGAGCTAGCTCATTGGCTGCAGGTCAGAGTCGCCCGCGCCATTGGTTGTGCAGTTGCGGCAGCACAGCCTATGAGCGTGCCAGACGCTCAGTGTGCTGGCTGTGCAGCTGCAAATGCGTTTTACATATAGGTTTCAGTAAATCGAGGAAAAGGAGTTTCCCCACTGCGTATAGCTACGCAATACGAAGTGACCGTTCGAAAGGGAACCACAGTTAACCACCAGTAAACCACAGTTAACCACCAGTAAACCACAGTTAAAGGGATAGTTCGGCCAAAAATGATATTTAACACATGCATTACTCACCCTCAAGCCGTTCGAGATGCATATGTCAATCTTGTTTCAGACGAACACATTTTCAGTTATTTTAGAAAATGTCTTAGACCCTTCAGTGGATATAATGTGAAGCAATGGGGTCCACCTCCTTCAAGTCCCAAAATGTGCATATATCCTTCACAAAAGTAATCCATCCGGCTCCAGGGGGATAAACGAAGGCCTTCTGAGGGTAATCCGTGCGGTTTTGTCGTAAAAATATACATATTTAAAACTTTATAAATGAAAATATCTGACTTCCGGCAACGATCGACGCGATTAAAGTCACAGGGATAGTTTAGGCTTTACAGCAGCTCTAGAATAAAGTTATTGTCCAGATAAAGTTAGTTTTGATTGATTCACTTCCGTTGCAAAGATCATTAGTTATTAAAGGGTTAGTTCACCCAAAAATGTAAACTCTCTCAGTAATTACTCTCCCTCGTGTTGTTCAACCCCGTAAGACTTTCGTTCATCTTCGGAACACAAATTAAGATATTTTCATTTATAAAGTTTTAAATATGTATATTTTTACGACAAAACCGCACGGATTACCCTCAGAAGGCCGTCGTTTCTCCCCCTGGAGCCGGATGGATTACTTTTGTGAAGGATGTATGCACATTTTGGGACTTGAAGGAGGTGGACCCCATTGCTTCACATTATATCCACTGAAGGGTCTAAGACATTTTCTAAAATAACTGAAAATGTGTTAGTCTGAAACAAGATTGACATATGCATCTCGAACGGCTTGAGGGTGAGTAATGCATGTGTTAAATATCATTTTTGGCCGAACTATCCCTTTAACCACCACTAAACCACAGTTAACCACCAATAAACCACAGTTAACCACCAAGAAACCACAGTTAACCACCAGTAAACCACAGTTAACCACCAGTAAACCACAGTTAACCACCAATAAACCACAGTTAACCACCACTAAACCACAGTTAACCACCACTAAACCACAGTTAACCACCACTAAACCACAGTTAACCACCAGTAAACCACAGTTAACCACCAGTAAACCACAGTTAACCACCAGTAAACCTCAGTTAACCACCAGTAAACCACAGTTAACCACCAGTAAACCACAGTTAACCACCAGTAAACCACAGTTAACCACCAGTAAACCAGTTAACCACCAGTAAACCACAGTTAACCACCAGTAAACCACAGTTAACCACCAATAAACCACAGTTAACCACCAATAAACCACAGTTAACCACCAATAAACCACAGTTAACCACCAGTAAACCACAGTTAACCACCAGTAAACCAGTTAACCACCAGTAAACCACAGTTAACCACCAGTAAACCACAGTTAACCACCAATAAACCACAGTTAACCACCACTAAACCACAGTTAACCACCACTAAACCACAGTTAACCACCAGTAAACCACAGTTAACCACCAATAAACCACAGTTAACCACCAGTAAACCACAGTTAACCACCAATAAACCACAGTTAACCACCAATAAACCACAGTTAACCACCAATAAACCACAGTTAACCACCAATAAACCACAGTTAACCACCAATAAACCACAGTTAACCACCAGTAAACCACAGTTAACCACCAATAAACCACAGTTAACCACCAGTAAACCACAGTTAACCACCAGTTAACCACCAATAAACCACAGTTAACCACCAATAAACCACAGTTAACCACCAATAAACCACATAACCACCAGTAAACCACAGTTAACCACCAATAAACCACAGTTAACCACCAGTAAACCACAGTCACATCTCATGCATATCAAGTCAAGTCATCTTCATTTATATAGAGCTTTTAACAATATAGATTGTTTCAAAGCAGCTTTACAGTGATAATAGGAAATTAAAGTCACAGGGATAGTTTAGGCTTTACAGCAGCTCTAGAATAAAGTTATTGTCCAGATAAAGTTAGTTTTGATTGATTCACTTCCGTTGCAAAGATCATTAGTTATTAAAGGGTTAGTTCACCCAAAAATGTAAACTCTCTCAGTAATTACTCTCCCTCGTGTTGTTCAACCCCGTAAGACTTTCGTTCATCTTCGGAACACAAATTAAGATATTTGTGATTAAATCTGAGAGCTGGATCACTCCTCCATAGGGTTCTAAGTGATTGAAACTGGCCGGCCCAGAAAAGTTGTACAGTCTGATCTTACTCCTGTCTGCTCTCCACAGGTATCCTGTACAGACACCGGAGCTCGGATGCTTTGGACACACTGAGTTTTCTCGTGGAGTGAGGAATTATGGGAAACGAGACCCTTCGGAGTTGTTTGACGTTTACTGTTTCGCCAATGACATGCAAGGTGAGTTTTAATGTATTAATATATTAATATACTGCTTCGATATGCTTTAAAACACTAACTAATTAACTAACTAACTAACTATAATTATTATTATAAATATTTGTAATTATTATCATACATTTATTTTATATTAATTATATATTATGTATTAATATTACAGGTGAAACTCGAAAAATTAGAATATGGTGCAAAAGTTCATTTATTTCAGTAATTCAACTTAAAAGGTGAAACTAATATATTATATAGACTCATTACATGCAAAGTGAGATATTTCAAGCCTTTATTTGTTATAATTGTGATGATTATGGCTTACAAATATGAAAACCTTTTCACAATATTCAAATTTTTAATTTGGGGTTTTCATAAGCTGTAAGCCATAGTCATCAAAATTATAACAAATAAAGGCTTGAAATATCTCACTTTGCATGTAATGAGTCTATATATTCTATTAGTTGAATTACTGTAAATGAACTTTTGCACGATATTCTAATTTTTCGAGTTTCACCTGTATATTAAATATTTGTTTACTAAATAGTATTTAATGTGGTTGATGATATATTAATTATTATTAATCATTTATTTATTGTATATGAATTGCACTGTGTTAGTTAATACATGAACTAATGTTAGCTAATGAACCTCACTGTAAAGTGTTACCCGTGTGTTATAAACTCTTGTGACATTAGTTCAGCCGAGCCGAAGCTCCCTCACACCTGCTCTGGTCCTGTGTTCCTCCAGGTGAGGTGTTTCCCGTCTCCGTCCCGGATAGACTGACCCGAGTCTCGGCCTCTGCTCTCTGTGAGTCTTCAGGAGCCCGGCTGGCCACCGTGGGGCAGCTCTCGCTGGCCTGGAGATCCGGCCTGGACCACTGTGAGCCGGGCTGGGTGTCTGACGGGAGCGTGAGGTCTGTCAGAGCGCTTCGGTCCGAGTGTCCCGGAGGAGAACCGGGCGTCACAACCGTTACATCAACAGAGCTGAGAAACGGATCCGCTCGCTTTGATGCTTTCTGCTATCGAGGTACACACAGAAACAAAATGCTACAAAAGCGGTCACTGGGATGGTACCCTTTAAAAAGGTTCTCATTTTTACTATTTAAAGGATTAGTTTAGTTCACTTTTGCTGATAATTTACTCACCCCCATGTCATCCAAGATGTCCATGTCTTTCTTTCTTCAGTCGAAAAGAAATTAAGGTTTGAGGGAAAACAATCCAGGATTTTTCTCCATATAATGGACTTCAATGGGGTCCAAACAGTTCAAGGTCCAAGTGCAGCTTCGAAGGGCTTTAAACGATACCAGACGATGAATAAGGGTCTTATCTAGCGAAACCATCGGTCATTTAAAAAAAAAAAAAATAAGTAAAAAGTTTAAGTTTTATAAGCACAAATGCTCGCCTTGCTCTGTTCTGTGATATACTTAAATTAATTGTTTATTTGTTTAAATATTTATTTACTTAAATAAATATACTATATAAACTATTAAGTGTACTATGTATTAAATAAATAAATATTGTAATATTTAATATTAATACATAATATATAATTAAAATAATAGTAATAATAATATTCAGCAAGTTTTTAATTGTATTAACCAATTTATTATTGTTATTCATATTATTATAATTATATTTTAATATAATTATTTATATTATTGTAATATAATTATTAAAGTTAGTGTATATTATGTTTAAAATATTTATTTATTTACTAAATAAATACATAATATACTATAAAGTATACTATGTTTTAAATTAATAGTTTCATATATAATATTAATAAATAATATATAATTAAAATAACAGTATTAATAATATTCAGCGATTGCGTTTATCTTAGAAATAAAGATATTTAGCATTTGTTAAAAGTCACACGAAATTGTTTTTTGTCACACTGGAAATGGAAAGTAGTCAAGTCAAATGCATTGCTTTATGAGACGATATCTTTCACCATTTTTATATACTTCACAATTTATTTGAATTTGGTATTCCATGCATTAAGAAAATTTGCTACTACTTACATACTACATTTTATTAAATAGTAGATGTAGATGGTATGTCATTCTGAATGTACCCTTAGACGTTTGACTGTACATAGAGATTTATCTGACAAGACCCTGCAATCGAACCCGTGACCTTGACGTCGCTTGCATGTGCTCTACCACTTGAGTAATGTGTTTAGAGAGAGAAACTGCAGTAATTGAATTGAATCCGTCGACAGCAAAGAAACCGCAGAAGGCTGTGACGGGCATCGTGAAGTCCTTACTGAGACCGTGGAGGTACATGACCGGAGACGACGCATCCCAGTCTCTCTCTTCAGCCACTGGTACAGTTCATTTACACACTCGTTACCAGTGGATTATCTGGCTTTTGCTCAGGATGTTCAGTCTCTGTCACTTCCCTTACGAAAAAGAAGTATACTTCAAGTTCATTTTATGAAGTATACTTAAGTAGTGTTCAAGTATATTTTTTAGGTATACATTATGTAGTAAGTATAATGTAAATATGTACTAGTAGTAAACTTGTAAGTGTACTATTTTAATACTGCTTGGGACTAAATTGGCCCACTTTTAGAATATCCTGTTAAGTGTCACCCCCCTTTTTTGAATATACATGGAAATGCACATTTCGTACAACTTAAATGGTTGTAATTCAAGAATGCTTTGGAATATAGACGTAAGATTGGACTTGTTTTAAAAAAGACATTTGGCAGATTTTTGTAGAAGTGAAATAAATTAAGAAAGTGAAAGAGAAAAAAAGTTATAGAAGTTTGAGTTTATGGAAATGTACAATGTAAAAAGATTAATTATTCATATTTTATATCAAATATATATTTTCAAAACCTGGGCTACTCTAAAACTGCAGAAAAATCAAAGCCAAAAATCTGAACAGGTTATGTTTAAAATTTTAGGTTGATATCTCAAAAAATGAGCTTTCAGTGAGATTTTGTTTGGGCGCAGTACCAAACTTTTTCACTAGGGTTTTTCCAAATTTTTAGTTTATGAAAGTACACTTTGAAGTATACTCTCAGTAAACTACTAGTTTAGTAGTTTTATACTACAAGTTTTCTTTAAGTGAACTTAACAATATACTTATTTCATAAGACTATATATGAAAAACTATGTAAAACTATTTAATAGGCTCCTCGATCAAAAGAGTTAACACGACTACAAGGCAAGTATACTTTGAATACTTAATTATACGTTTAAGTATATCTCGATCAAAAGAGTTCAAGTACAGGCCAAATATACTTGGACTTTTCTCTCAGTATAAGTCAAGTACACTTAAGTGTAATTTTAAGTATATTTTTGAGAAGTATATAAAATGTGGATTGAAAGTATGCTTTCTTATTTTTTAGTTTAAAAGAAATATGCTAATAGCACACTTGAATAAACTTTTTTCGTAAGGGTTTTACTGAGTTCAGTTCCCTTTCAAGGGAACTTCGAGCTGCGTCAAACGCTGTGGGAACGCCCCTGCGTTGTGCGTCATGAAGCACGTATGGAATCAGCCCAATGGAGAGACGGAACGTCATAGGCGGGTGACGTCATCGACCAGGAAACTATAAAGCACCCCAAAAACACAAGCGCATCAGCTTCTGATAGGCCTGAAGGAGCGCTATATGTGAATCTGTCTGAGTGTAAACACTGTGTCTGTCTTTAGTATTTGCTAGGCAGGAGTTATCACATTTACACCACACAAACAATTTTGTATGAGAGACTATGGCGAGCGAACGGCATTTAAGAAGTGTGTTCCTCCCTGCTCGCGCTATCTAACGGGCGGGGATACACACGTTCTTTGTGTTGTTTGTCTGGAAGTGCAGCATGCCCAGTCAGCTCTCGAGGGGGCTGGCTGCGAGCATTGCGAGCGTCTGCCTTTATGGACGCTCCGCTTCCGCCGGGCGCTCTCTGAGGAGAGTGCTCGGTGCGCGCTCCCCGCGGTTCGAGTCCCGCTTCTGCCGAGGCTGAGCGGCGACGCTTATCATGGGGATCGCAAATGGATCTTTCAGCGGGGTTAGAGACGGGCTCTGCCTTATCTCTGCCTTTACCTGTTAGATCCAGTGTCTCAGCCCGGTTTGGAAGCACGCTCTGCGGCTTCTTCCGCCCGGGCTGAGGCACCAGTACTGCAACTATCGTTATATAGTTATAAAAACTAGGAGATAAAAATAGCAGTATTGACGAGGGAGATGTGGAGGACTCGCCACCTAACACTCCCGAAAGCGAAGAGCTCATGGAGGTTCTCACTCGAGCTGTATTAAAACTAAGCATTGAGTGGCCAGTGGCTAGGCAGGAGTCTGTTATTAAATCTAAGTTAGATGAAAGATTTCTCCCTTCCCGTGTGCAACCTCCATGCCGGTGCTTGCCGTTTTTTCATGATCTCCATACTGAGGTGTCGAGATTATGGAAGAAGCAGGTTTCTGATATAATTTTAGCCCCCAATCATTCACATATTCAGATTTAACGGGGGCTAGGTTTTTTAAAAGAAAAGACGGCGCTTTGCCGCGGGTAGAAGAGACGCTTGCGAGCTATCTCTCTTCCGAGGCTGCATTTGTCATTTAAAGCACCGGCATTACCTTCCAAGCCATTATGAAATATTTCGGCTTTGTAAAGTGTATTTGGCGGCAGGTCAGGCTGTGTCGTGTCTGCATACAATGTCTATATTGCAGGCATACCAGGCTGATTTGCTAAAGGACGTGAGTGAGGAGGCAGTACTGACGTGGTTCGAGAACTGCGTCAGGCTGCCGATTTGTGGTAAAATCGAGAACTGTGTCAGGCTGCCGATTTGTGGTAAAATGATTTTTTTTTCCAACATGAAACAGAAAGAGAAAGCTTTCTTTTAGATGATCCTCTCTCCCCTGCTGGGTTATTCAGTGACTTAGTTAATACTGTCATTGATAATTTCAGGAAGAAAAGAAGCAGGCAGCAGCTTTTAAAAGGTTTCCTCCATTAAAAGTTCACGTCCACGGGGCTGCTGGGCGGGAGCAGCCCCGGCCGTCCACGAGCTCATCGCATAGGCGCAGCAAAGCAGAGTATCGCGTCTCGCACTCCCCCTGCTGGACAGTGGGACCAGACGCGGCACTCTCAGCCAAAGCTTTTTGAAAAATAAATATAATATAATATAATATATATATATATATATATATATATATATATATATATATAAAAAGCAATAGAACTGATTTGAGGACAGTTATATTGGCTATGCTGAGGGCGGTCCCCACCGAGGGAGAAAGGTCTTCACCTCTTTTTACGGTGCCCATTCTTCCTCGGTGCCCTCAGGGGCCCGTTCTGCCAACCCCGCCTTCATGCCGGGGCGCAGACGGTCCCGGCGAGCGCTTTCCCGAGGGACGCTCGCCTCCTCTGACACCGAGGGTGGTCCCCATCGAGGGAGAAAGGTGTTCACCTCTTTTTACGGTGCCCATTCTTCCTCGGTGCCCTCAGGGGGCCCGTTCTGCCAACCCCGCCTTCATGCCGGGGCGCAGACGGTCCCGGCGAGCGCTTTCCCGAGGGACGCTCGCCGCCTCTGACACTGAGGGTGGTCCCCATCGAGGGAGAAAGGTGTTCACCTCTTTTTACGGTGCCCATTCTTCCTCAGTGCCCTCAGGGGCCCGTTCTGCCAACCCCGCCTTCATGCCGGGGCGTAGACGGTCCCAGCGAGTGCTTTCCCGAGGGACGCTCGCTCCCTCTGAGGAGGGTCTCAGAGCGGTCAAACCAGTTGTTCCCTGCCGGTGCGCCGTTACAGGGCGCTGTGTTTGCTGCTCAAATTACACCAGAGACCAGTCTCGAGAGACTGGTACCCTTAGTAGAATTTGTTTGGCAGAGTGGAAAAGCCTTCCAAGAATATCTCAGTGGGTCCTGCAGACAGTAGTAAGAGGTTATGCGATCCAATTTAGGTGTCGTCCACCGAAACTCAGAGGGGTTCTGCCCATAGTGTGGGCCCCGAGCAGGCTCTGGTAATGGAACAAGAGGTGAAAACGCTCCTTCAAAAGGGGGCTATAGAACAGGTTCCTCCTCCCAGTTTGGAGCTAGGTTATTACAGCCGATATTTCATCGTTCCAAAGTAGGATGGGGGGTTGCGTCCAATTTTAGATTTGCACCTATAAAATCGCTCGGTAGGGAAGCTCAATTCAAGATGCTCACTATCAAGCAGGTCGTGTCACAAATCAGGTCCGAGGGCTGGTTTGTCACGATAGATCTAAAGGACGCTTACTTCCACATTTCCATACTTCCACAACACAGGAAGTTCCTGAGGTTTGCCTTCGGGGGCGAGGCATTCCAATATAGGGTTCTTCCGTTCGGTCTAGCTATCTCCCCGTACTTTACGGAGCAGATGGCGGTTCGACATCGAGATGTCGTCCTCGCGCATATCAGGAAGTTGGGGTTGAGGCTGAACGCGAAGAAAAGTGTTTATCTCCTTCCCTGGAGACCACTTTTCTGGGCGTTGTTTGGGATTAGGTCACCCGCATCGCTTCGATTCTTCAGCCTTGAAACAGTAAAGCTAGGCCAGCTACTCACTGTAAAGCAGTTTCAGAAACTGTTGGGTTTGATGGCAGCAGTGTCCAACGTTATACCTTGGCCTGTTGTACATGAGACCGCTGCGGTGGTGGCTCAGGACCAAGGGATTCTCCCCGAGGGGAAATCCACTCCACACGATCAAAGTCACGCGGCGCTGCCTTCGTGCTCTGGTCTTGTGGAAAGAAACTTGGTTCCTATCCAAAGATCCTGTGCTGGGGGCTCTTTGTCGTCGCATAAAGCTAACGACGGATGCTTCCCTCACAGGGTGGGGGGCGGTCATGAGTGGTCGTCCAGCCCAAGGTCTGTGGCAGGACCATCATCTATCATGGCATATAAATTGTCTAGAGATGTTGGCAGTGTTTCAGGCTCTGAAACACTTCCTGGCAGACCTGAGAGGTCATCATGTGCTAGTTCAGTCAAACAACACGTCGGTGGTCTCTTATATAAATCGTCAGGGGGGCCTGCGGTCTCGCCGGCTTTACAAGTTGGCCCGTCAGGTCCTCCTGTGGTCCCTAGGGAAGTTACTATCACTAGCAATGTATCTTCCAGGGTATTTGAATATGGTAGCGGACTCTCTGTCGAGGCAGGGGCCGAGGCCGGGGGAATGGAGACTCCACCCCCGAGGTGGTGGAGCTCCTTTGGTTGAGTTTCGGTCGCGCCGAGGCAGACCTATTCGCTTCCAAGGAGATATCGCACTGTCGTCTGTGGTTCTCCATCAGTCATCCAGCCCCTCTGGGGTTGGACGCTATGGTGCAGCCGTGGCCGAGGTCACGTCTGTACGCTTTTCCCCCGATTGCTCTGCTATCAGGAGTTCTGGAGAGGGTTCGCCGGGACGGGGTCAGCCTACTATTAGTAGCCCCGTTCTGGCCGGCCAGAGTATGGTTTGCGGACCTGGTTTCTCTCCTGGACGGCTCTCCTTTGGAGCTCCCGGTCAGGAGGGATCTACTCTCTCAGGCGGGCGGCATGATATTTCACCCCCGCCCAGAGTTATGGAAACTGTGGGCTTGGCCTCTGAGGGGGCCCAGCTCTTAGATTCCGGTCTCTCAACCGAGGTTGTTGAGACCATCCTTCACTCCAGAGCTCCATCCACGAGGAAGCTATATGCCTTTGAAGTGAAAACTTTTCACTTCTTGGTATGGAGAACACCTGTAGGACCCAGTTAACTGCCCAGTGGGTGCAGTGCTGGAATTCCTGCAGGAGCGTTTCTCCACAGGGTTATCCCCCTCCACACTAAAGGTGTATGTGGCGGCACTGGCTGCTTACCACGACCCTTTCAGTGTAGTTTCTCTTGGGAGACACCCGCTTATAACTCGTTTCCTTCGTGGCACTTTGAGGCTGAGGCCAGCAGTTCGTGCCTGGAATTTTCGCCTGGTATGGTTAAGGCTTTTCTATACCCTAGGCCAGGTTATGTTCCTAAGGTCCCTACTAATGTTGTCAGACCTACAGTTCTGCAGGCTTTCTGTCCTCCTCCATTTCTGTCGTCAGACCAGGAGAAACTTAATTTGCTCTACCCAGTGAGGGCATTAGACGCTTATGTCCACAGAGCTGCCCTGTGGAGGAAATCAGAACATTTATTTGTATGTTTCGGGCCACCCAGGAAAGGGTGTCCTGCGTCTAAATAGAGAATGAGCAAGTGGGTGGTCGAGGCTATCTCACTTGCTTATGAGTCGGCTGGTCAGCCTTCACCTTTGGCTGTACGAGCCCGCTCTACTAGGAGTATGGCTGCATCCAAAGCTTTATTGTCAGGAGTTTCCCTGAGTGAGGTTTGTGATGCGACTGGATGGTCTTCACCGTGCAGGTGCTCTCGTCCGCTGTGCGCTAGATCTCACATGACGGTCACTTGCTCCTATGGCGACGTGGGTATTCGCGTTCCCACAGCGTTTGACGCAGCTCGAAGTTCCCTTGAAAGGGAACGTCTCGGTTACGTATGTAACCCTAGTTCCCTGATAGGGAACGAGACGCTGCGTCGTTCTGCCATACTCCCGGCATTCCCGTTAAGCGCTCCTTCAGGCCTATCAGAAGCTGATGCGCTTGTTTTTTTGGGGTGCTTTATAGTTTCCTGGTCGATGACGTCACCCGCCTATGACGTTCCGTCTCTCCATTGGGCTGATTCCATACGTGCTTCATGACGCACAACGCAGGGGCGTTCCCACAGCGTTTGACGCAGCGTCTCGTTCCCTATCAGGGAACTAGGGTTACATACGTAACCGAGACGATTTCTATATACTAAATCCATCAGAACATCTTGTTTGTTATTGGTAAAGGGAGCATATTTTACCTTATATGTCCGCTTTTAATATCAGTCAAGGTTTTTGCATAAAAAATAGTCATAATTTTGATTTTCCATTCTTCAGCTTCTCTTTAGAACGGATTTTTTTAATGACCTTGCAAACATTTTTTTAATGTTTTGATTGATAATTAAATTCTGCAGATTTAAATATATCACCAAGCTGATGTTGCACATCTTTAAAAGTTAAGGAAATCAGTAATATTTTCCACTAAAAAGTCATGGAGTTACAGTATAGAAATTAGAATTTATACAAAACTTAATGTTACATCGACCTTTCCACCAAGTTTTCAAAAGATCAAAATATTTTCATTCACCAAGGATGCATTAAATTGATCAAAAGTGAAAGTAAAGACATTTATAATGTTAGTAAAAATTCTATTTAAATAAATGCTGTTCTTTTGAACTTCTATTCATCAAAGAATCCTGAAAAATTAAATGTATCACGGTTTCCACAAAAATATGAAGCTGTTTTCAACATTGATAATAATCATAAATGTTATTGAGCATCAGATCATCATATTACAGTGATTTCTGAAGGATCATGTGACACTGAAGACTGGAGTAATGATGCTGAAAATACAGCTTTGATCACAGGAATAAATTACACTTTACTATATATTCACATAGAAAATAGCTATTTTGAATTGGAATAATATTTCTAAATATTCTTGTTTTTACTGTATTTTTCGTCAAATAAATGCAGCCTCTGTGAGCAGAAGACACTTTTAAAAAATCATTAAAAAAATCGTACTGAACCCAGACTCTTGAGTTATTTCTCATACTTGCCATGCAAAGAGCGAGTTAAATCTGAACTATCCTGTTTCAAAAAATGGAAATGTCATATTTTGAAGGTAAAGTGTTGTTTTTCATGTTAAACTCAATGACGCTCCTCTCTGCCTGTGTTCCAGACGCACAGTCGGATCTTCCCGACCTTCATCCCACTAACTGGACTGGACAGGTGGATTTGGACAAGGATTTAGATTTGCACATGGCCGCTGAAGCCCCCGAGCTCTCCGCCGAGTATCTGACGGCCCGTCTCCGAGCTGGAGACACGTCTCTGGACTGGAGTGGACAGTTGGACTCGTTCCCAGACGGAGAACAGGTGGTTCCGGCTCCGGGGTCAGATCCGGGTCCCGGAGGCTCGGCCACAGAGGAAGAGGATGAAGATCTATCCGGTCAGTCTGTCAGTCCTACAGCTCCTCAAGGAAAGGGCACAAGTTCCCTCAACAACATCGTCAGCTCATTGTGGAAACCCTGGAGCTACTTGACAGGAAGTGATGCGGAGGCGGAGGCGACAACCAAGAGTGTGACGCCCGTGATGGACACGCAAACCACGGCAACTCCTGACTCGGGTGACTATTATGCTTTTTCCCATGGTCATCTTTCTTTAGTGTGTGATGTTGCGGAGTTCTTCTCTATATCAGAGTTAGTGTTTCTGAACTCCTGAAACGCCTCCATTGTAGTCTTAAATTTCTTCTGGGAGCGAACACGTCACAATATTCCTCGTTTAAATAATTCACACGCAGAATAAAGGGGCGGGGCCTGGTTGAGTTAGTTAGTAGTGTGTTGAAACTGACGGATATGAAAAGGGGCGGGACATTTCCCAAACACACTCAAAGCGCTCGACCAATCGCAACACACTGATCCAGCCGACCAATCAGAGCACAGTGTGCTTTTCAGAAGGAGGGGCTTCATAGAGACAGGAACTAAACAGAGCGTTACTGACAGACTGGGAAGAGACATATTAAAGTCCCCCTGTGGTGAAAATCAAGTGTTTAATGTTTTTATGTGTCTATGTGGTGTTTTTAATACGCTTTAAGACACACCATGTGTAAATTCATAAGTCGACAGCATTGCTGAGTATTTTCTGCTTAAAACTGCAGTGAACCAAAGACAGTCTCAAAAACACGGTTTGAAATCGCTGGTGTTTCTGACGTCACAAACGACCTTGTAACCAATCAGATCAACGTGTGATCGTCAACCAGTGGATCTCTGAGCTGAGTGAGTGAGTGGAGGCGGGGCTCATTTGCATATTCATAGAGCCGCGTGTACTAAATGAGGGTGTCGAGTTACAGTCAAGATATTTACATGAAGTAAAAAAAAATTCAAGGAAAAAACAGGATAAAATTATTGACTTCATGGAGACTTTAAAAAGTATTTATCGGTATATTCCTGTAGAAACATATGGATAAAAAAAGTGTCCATCCATCCCATGTTGAGGAGGCCTGAACGTTAAAGTTTCAAGATAATACTTCAGTTAGTGTCCTTTCTGCCTTCATTAATACAGATACCTTGTCTGGTCCAAACTGAACCCGACAGCATTAATGTTTAACGTCAAATGGAAACTTAGGCCTGTCGTCTACATTATTAAAGTCCATTTTCCATGAAGGCAGAATTTCCCAGTGGAAGCTTCATAATTGAGGGTTGAAAGCCAGAAACTGGAAAACTGCTACCACACTGTTCACTTATGTACGCTAACTGTACGCTTGAATACTTTGTGTGGTTTATTCTGCTGATATACCAAATATACATGAGACCTCATGTAAAAAACTTTCCAGTGATTTCATGCTGAAAGTGTATACACACACAAAAGCTTGAATCTGCGCAAAAACAGTCTATTTCACCCAATATTTGTTATTTTAGTTTATTATGTGGAGAATTTCAGACCACTCATCCATTAGGATGCTGCTTTAGACCAGAAACAAGTACACAGTTTTTCATCTAATATTTTTTTTTATTTCTGCTTAATTTTAACACATTGTTTTCGTTTGTCATGCATCTCCTAGGAACGTGTTTTTGCTTGAGTTTGTGTGTCGTTTAGTGAATGCTGCTCAGTTTGTCCTCTATAAGCATTTAGAAAGACAGCAAGTGCATGATGCCTAGTGCTTTAAAATCTGTTCAGATTATAAAAGTCGTGTAGCATTCCTGCCTTTAGTGGTAAAAATGGTGCATCTGATCACCTCAACAAAACACAAAACTTGAGAAATCATTAGCACAAACGGACATGAACGGATGGAGTTACACGCTGAAGTTTGATTCAGATAACTGGTCTTAAAAATGAGCAACAGTAGTAGTGATGCTTGACCACTAACAGCCTGAAGTCTTAGACGAGTAAATAAACTGGAGTCAAGTGAATAAGTAATGAGAAAGTCTGGCAGACAGTTCACCGCTCTCTCGAGACACAAAAAAACAGATTGGAGGAATGAATCCGAGAAGATGCACTGCTGATTGAATAAACCACCACAGTAATCACAGCTTGTGTTTGTCTTCACAGGGTTGATATCATGGTGGAGTCGCTCATGGCTGTCTCGTCCTTCATCCGTCACTGATAAATTAAGCACATCCAGAAGTTCGGACGTGCCGACATCAATCCTGCCAAACACCACGGACGACAACCACACAGGTCGGCCTGCCCAGAGATTAGGAGATTGGGTCGTGGTGACCGAAATACCTGAGCAGAAAACCAAAACCGACGAACCCAAAGTCTCCGTATCAACTGAGAATTACTCCGGAGAGAGCAGAGTCCTGGAGACGGAGGGCAGCTCGTGGGGAGATACGTATCTGTCGTCACAAACACCGCTGAAGGTGGTGACGTCGAGAACCGGTTCCCTCGCCACCACCGTTTCTGGTTCCCTCGCCACCACCGGTCCCCTTGCCACCACTGGTTCCCTTGCCACCATCGGTTCCGGTTCCCTCGCCACCACCGGTTCCCTTGCCACCACTGGATCCCTCGCCACTACCGGTTCCCTTGCCACCATCGGTTCCGGTTCCCTCGCCACTACCGGTTCCCTTGCCACCACCGGTTCCCTCGCCACCAGCGGTTCCGATTCGCTCGCCACCACCGGTTCCCTTGCCACCACCGGTTCCCTTGCCACCACCGGTTCCCTCGCCACCAGCGGTTCCGATTCGTTCGCCACCACCGGTTCCCTTGCCACCACTGGTTCCCTTGCCACCACCGGTTCCCTCGCCACCACCGGTTCCCTTGCCACCACCGGTTCCCTTGCCACCACCGGTTCCCTCGCCACTACCGGTTCCCTCGCCACCACTGGTTCCCTTGCCACCACTGGTTCCCTCGCCACCACTGGTTCCCTTGCCACCACTGGTTCCCTTGCCACCACTGGTTCCCTTGCCACCATTGGTTCCGGTTCCCTCGCCACCGCTATTTCCGGTTCCGGTTCCCTCACCACCACCGGTTCCGATTCCCTCGCCATCAGCGATTCCCTCGCCACAACCGATTCTCTCGGCACAAACGATTGCCTTATCCCCACCGGTTCCCTCGCCACAACCGATTCCCTTGCCACCACCGGTCCCCTCGCCACCACCAGTTCCCTTGCCACCACCGGTTCTGCTCACGGCCGTGAGGCCCGTGGAGAAATCCAGTACAGACGCAGGAACAAACCAAAGCGACCCAACCCAAGCACCACTGAGATGACGACAGCCATCGTCCACAACACAGCGACACCCTCAGGAGTGTCTTATAGTGCTGAAAACAGTGGATCGACCATCTCAACATCTGCAGACGAGTCTCGGACAGCAAGCTTTGGACCAACGGGTACCAGCAGCATAGAGCCGGATCTGAGCAGCACCGAGGCCGTCAGGAAGAACCACTCCATTGGAGAAGATGGTAAGATATTATGTTTTCAATCAGGGCCGTACGCAGGGTTTTGTAAATGCTGAGGTTGCTAATGGGGGTTCTGGGATATATAGTTGCAGAGGTTTGACAGTGCAAGCTGGAAGGCATTACAATAGTCCAGTCTGGATAGAACAAGCACTTGGACAAGGAGTTGAGGAGCATGCTCTGATAGGAAGGGCCTGATCCTCCTAATGTTGTATGAGGCGAATCTGCAGGACTGGGCATTTCTAGCAATGTGGTCTGTGAAGTTCAATTGATCATCAGTCACAACAGGTTCCTGGCTGACCTTAAAGGAGTTATAGATGACGAACCTAGCTAAAGAGAGAAGTTGTGGTGTAATGTTGGGTTGGCCGGGATCACAAGCAGCTCGGTCTTCGCAAGGTTTAGTTGAAGGTGGTGGTCCTTCATCCAGCAAGAAATGTCTGTCAGGCAGGCTGAGATGCGAGCAGGAATGAGAGGTAGAGATGTGTGTGTCATCAGCTTAGCAGTGATAGGAAAAACCATGTTTCTGAATGACAGATCCTAGTGATGACAAGTAGATGGGGAAGAAAAGTGGTCCAAGCACTGAGCCCTGAGGTACTCCAGTAGCTAGATGTTGGGTCTTAGACACCTCACCTCTCTATGACACCCTAAAAGACCTACCTGAGAGGTTGAACCATTGGAGTGAGTGCCCTTCGTCTTTAGGATTGACTGGAGGATCTGGTGGTTAACTGTGTCAAACGCTGCAGACAGATACAGCAGGATAAGAAGTGAGGATTTGTAAGACATGTTTTGTGTAAGAAAGCTATATGCGAGGAGGGCGTGAGTCATCATGAATATTGATGTGTTTCCCACCTGAGAAGACAAAGACCCTCCCCTAATGGCCCTATCAGGTGGGACTGCGAGGGAACTAGAACAAAGAATATGGAGGGATTAAAATAATTGCTTTTTGATTATTTGGATTTATTTACAACACAACATAATCCAAAGATACATAAGGAAGGACAAAAGGGCACATTATTGAACAGGAACTGTTTCAGGAATGGCACAGAGGTGTATGACTGTTCAAGTCTCTGTCTCTGATAGGGGTGTAAATCGGAGCCTTAATGACGATTCGATTCGATACGATTCAATACTAGATATTTTTACATGATATCTAATAAGTTTCAAATAAATCAACAACAAAAAAATAATTAGCCTTTTATTGAGAATACAGAAACAGCATTTGTGGCGAGCAGGGCGCGGCCGACGTGAGAGAGCGAGCGGCGCGAGGCCGGTGGCGTGAGTGTTAATGAACGTCACCTGTGAGACGCACCGGTTACACTATAGCAGTCTTCTTTGCAAACGCAACATCTCTTACCACTGCTCCATCTGTTTTCCTGAAGCCAAAATACTTCCACACCCATGACTTGACGCCGACTGGAGTGTGTAACATTTCAGCTCGCTCTGCCGGTTCCATCGCTCTTGAAAGTCAGACTCAACAATGTGTGTGAACATAGATAGACTGTGAAATGTAAGTAACGCGTGTGAAGACAATAATGAGGTTAGTGCCACCCGCAGCTTAGGAATAGGTTGTACGCATATGTCGGAGCGGATGCTGAAAATAGACATGCGGCAAAATAAACACATTAATCGATACTCTTGCGGACGCATCGATGCATCGAATCGTCGGCTGTAAAATCAATGGATCGATACGAATCGATACGAATCGATTAATATTTACACCCCTAGTCTCTGATCTAAAGTCACACACCTTTGTGCTATTCCTGAAACAGTTCCTGTTCAGCATACCTGTCATTTCCAAGGTGTTAGCTTTTTCATTTTACCATGTTCATGTACAGAGATTCCTGTGAATGTTTAAGTCAGCAGGACACATCAGTGGCATCTGGTCCCTGTAAAAACAACAACAACAAAACAACTGTGAACATGCTGATAATCAGGAGAAACTAGTGCTGCACGGTTTGGGGAAGAAAATCTAATTAAGATTTTTCTAGTTAAAATTGATTTTAAAATTCACAAAAATATATATAAAGAAAACCAGGTTTGTTGTGACTTGTAGGCATATACTTTTAGGGCTGCATAAAATAATTTTTACTTTACAGAAAACTTTTATTTTTGACACAGTAACTATATATCATTATAAAGGAACACTTCAGTACACTACACTAGAGAAAAATATATGGATAATCATATTTTACTTCAAATGTTATCATTCGTTATGAAATGAGATTGGAGTAAAAACATGTAGCCTAATGTTTGACGCGTTTTGCTTTTCAAAAAGTGTCCCAAACTTGTAGAGACCAAGCGATCGAGCCGCTCCTCACTATGAAACATTATTGTTACCACATTATAAACATCTACGTTTGAGCAAATATCCACAAACACCGTATTAGGGGTTGGAAAATGACGTCATACTTGGTCAAAGTCATTTGCGCATGTTACATTTAGATAGATTATGTAGACAAACATTTTGTTTCTTTAGAAAAGTGCAACCTTATAAAGCCAAAAACGTTTGTTTTTTAACTTAAGTTGCTGCAAAGAACCATTAAACAACCTGTTTTCCTCCTGATTTGAGAGCGTGTCCTGATGGCTGCACAGTATTTACACCAGATAAGAGATTTTGAATAACCTTTGAATCAGATATGGCAGGTGGGTGGACGTCCAGGTGCAGGAAAGAGACTCTTGTTGGGTTTAATTATGTGAGGAGTGTGTGCTTTGGGAGGAAAGCTCAGCCAATGAATATTCAGATCTGTGCATGAATATTAATCAACGCCCACAGATTTGCTTATAATACTGAGAATTTGCGGCCAGTTAGGAATATATGGATGTCAAAATGGACAAAAAAAATCGATTTCACACTAGTTGTGCTGATTGTGGCGTAGCAAGCAAACCATTATAATTAATGAGCACATGGCAGATAATCGGTACATTTCATTGACTCGCGGCCTGATGTGTCCGATTCACTTTTCACACGTTTCAGAATCATTTAAAAAGTGCAGAGACACAATAGAACACTTATTAGCTATGCTCATGAATATTAATTACATTAGTCAGGTCAGTGAGGAGCTATTTTCATTGATTTTTATTTCATTTTTTCATTGATATGAAATAAATTATATATCGACTATTCTATACAGCCTATTTCACTTTTTGTAATGGCTTTTCAGTCACTCATGCGTGTGTGTGTGAGTAATGTATGTGTGTGTGTGCGTGTCGTGAGTGTGTGTTCACGCGTGTTGTGTGTGTGTGTATGTGAGAGTTTGTGTGCGCATGTGTATGTGTGTGTGCGTGTGCGCATTTGTGAGCGTGTTTGTGTGTGTGAGAATTTGTGAGAGTGTGTCTGTGAGAGTGTGTGTGTGTGTGTGTGTATGAATGCATGTATGTGTCACTATTCAGCTCCCAGCGGCTTCATCCGGCTCTTGAATATGTGATACGCTACAGTGGGAGGAGTGTGTGTGTGTGTGTGTGTTCACACTCGTTGTCTTCAGCATCTGCTCTGATTAACTCAGGGAAACTGAGAGTCATGCACAAGCTCTTGTGTTTTAATGCACAAGAGCTCGTCACATTCATGACTGCAGATCTTCTTATTTTAGTCTCCAATCAATCTCTGGCTGCTAACTGGCTTTTCTGTCTTAGGCATTGATTTCTCCGGTCATGTTATAAGCAGTCGGACTGACACAAACTGACATTCTCTGGTGTCTCCCCCGTCTGTCGTCCTGAAGAATGCCAGATTTGACCTTCAGTGTTACATCACCTGTCAATCACATGAGCCCTGTGGCCTGTGCAGACTGACATGACTGATGTGGAGGAAACACACTGATGTCCGGAGCAAATATATATATATTTATGCACCTAGCGGAATGAAATAACTTTGTTTATATGTTTCCGAACTTTTTTTATCCAGCTAGTTGACGACATTTCTCATTTTCATTCAAGTACTAAAATAACTAAAACAAAAAATGTATAAACAATATATAGATGTTTAAGAAAAACTAATAAAAGTGACAAAACACACAGATACAATTACTGGAAAATGAACTTTAATTATAAGGTAACGGAAATTCTAAAAATAAAAACGAATTAAAAAGAACTATAATAGTATATCAATGAACATTGGTCTGTGTGTTCTGTTCTATTTCGAAAAAGCAAAGAAATTAGATCTTTTAAATATTAAATATTGTATTTTTTCAAGTGTGATATTTCTATCCAACTAACAGGGTTTTTGTATAAAATGGTATCTGTATTATTTATAAGCAGCGTGTTAATAATATCATGTTGAAGAAGATTAAAGCACACGCTGTGTTAATGTGATGAAGTGTAAGTAAATTTGCAGCTGTGTAAACACTGAATTAAATCAGTCTGCCTGATGGGTTATTCTTTACCCCTGATGATTGTGCCATTATCACACTCTCTTTCTCTCACTCATTATGCTATATTTGCATATCGCTCTGCTTTGTGAGGTTAAGAGGGCAAATGATAGGTGAGAGGTGATTTTTAACAGTTATATAATGTCACATATAGTTTTCAGTATGTGCAGTATATCCCATCATGGCATGCTGGTGTGACCTCAAGGATGCGGCTCGTTTGCATTTGTGCTAAAAACAAACAAACCAATTAGAGCTGAAACGATGGTTTGCCATGTGAAGCCGGTAATTAAGTGAAAAGGGGCGTGGCCTGTGGAACGAACGAGAGTTACACAGTTACCATGACAACAGAACCCGAGTGCATCCAAGAGAGTTGGTGAAGCCCATCAATGTGAGAGAGAGAGAGACAGAGGAAAAGACAAAGACTAGATACAAACCTGTATGAATTTCTTTTTTCTGTGGCGCAAAAAAATAGATATTCTTATATTGACATTCACTTTTTTTGCTCACCATTCACTGTGGCTAGTGGTTTTCCACTACAGTTACTGGCCACTCAGTATTTTCACAAAATTGCCACAATTTTTAATTTATAGATATTTTTAACATTATCTCATAATTTGGCTGCAGGGAAATTAGGCTGCTGTCACTTTAAGACCTGACGCACAGATCCGTTATACTGTTACACGTGTGTTATCTTTCTCAACGGTTTACGTTCACTTAAAACACAACTGACTGTTTACGTGAATACTCACCAAGACCGGCATTTTGACATTATTTTGTGTATTTGACTGTTTAAGTGCAATAAGCAGAGAAAAATAACTCAGTTTAGTTCTGAGAGACGGCTTTATGTGCGTGCAATACACACCAAAATTCAAGCCGGAGCAAATGAAATGAGTGAGTGAAGAGAGGCGGGTTTGTGTGGTTTTGCACTCGCTGTCGGAGAGATGAGAGAGAGAAAGAGCATAGAGAGAAAATAATATTAAAAGCGTTTCAGATATTTCTATATATGTATAGAAAAATCACTACATTGTACTTAGTTTATTATTTCAGATGCTTTTTTAAAGTCCCCCTGTAGTCGATCATTTCATCCCTTAAAACTCATCTTTGATCATCAAAATGACATATTTAAAGTTTTTTCTTGGAAAAAATCTTCATGCCTTAAAATATCTTGACTGTAACTCGACACCCTTGCCTCATTAATTATACATGGTCCTATGAATATGCAGATGACCCCGCCTCCACTCACTCCCTCAGCTCAGAGATCCACTGGTGGACGATCACACGTTGATCTGATTGGTTACAAGGTCGTTTGTGACGTCAGAAACACCAGCGATTTTAAACCGTGTTTTTGAGACTGTCTTTTGTTCACTGCAGTTTTAAGCATAAAGCGTATTAAAAACACCACTTAAACACATAAACAACATTAAAAGCTGGATTTTTACGACAGGGGGACTTTAAAAGACTACAATTGAAAAATGTATATAAAATTATACTAGTGTTTCTAGTAGTAGTTCTGTGTTGTGAGACTGCGTTACATTTGTGATGTCTTTAAATGCGTATCACGTATATGTCCTTGAGTCTGTGAATTGACTTTCACACACACAGATTTTTCATACAACTGCATCTTCGATTCTTTCTCTCTTTGTATATATATATATATATGGTGATGTGGTTGATGTGGGATAGTGCAGGTCAGTGGTGTGTGTATTAGAACGAGCTGTTCTCTGAAAGCCATTACAGGCCTGAACGAGCGCACACGTGTGTAATGAAGAGAGGCTCTAGAGAGAGCAGAACTAAATGATAGTGTTGTGTTTTCACACTGACTGACTGTCATCGTAACGTCTGCTTATTCCCCTCAAGATCCGCACACTCACATCCACTGACTGGGAAAGTGAGCAAACGGGAGAATCTTAAACTCATGATGCCACAATAATAGACCAGAATGCAACAATTTCGGTGCAAGGAAAATCAAGAACATCTACATTTGCTATCGCTCTATAAATAATAAATACGTATTATTTTCATGTCATACTGTTGGTGTGACACAGGCGGAGGAAGTTGTTTCATGTGTGTGTGAGTTATTAGATCTGTGTTTGAACTCAACTTGAGGGAAAAAATCGAATTGCTTTTTTTTAAATTGCAATTGTGATTTAAAATTATTAAAAATTCAGCTGTTTGTAGGACTGCACAATTTTGTGCAAAAAAATAACAGCTCATTATTATTAATAGCAGTAGTAGTACTAGTATTATAATTTATAATATATAATGATTATATTTTAAAATACTGTAAATATAATAATTATATAGATTTTGATCATTTATTGTTATTATTATTACATATTATTATTATTACTCAAGAATATTAAACAAAATAACTAATATTACTATTATAATATTTAAAAAAAAATGTGTTTAAGAACAATAATATAATACTACTAATAATACATTTATTTTACAGTGCAACTTTAAAAATACAATATGAATATTCTTCATTTAAAATGTAGCATCATTGGGGTCATAAAGCTTCTACTTTCATGCAGCGCAAATCACAATCTTTTCTATTCGATACACTGAGCTAATCACGGTTTGGGTTTGATTTTGATTAATCACACACACCTTATCAAATACTGTATGCCGCTGTTTGTTTAGTGATGTCTAAGTGAAGCGTCACTATTATTATTGCTCATATTAGTGTTCGATATTAAACAGTTTTGCAGCAGGTGTGTGTGTGTGTGTGTGTGTGTGCTTTATAATCACAGACAGATTGTGATGGATCACCTCCACAGCAGCAGTGACAGCAGTGTGTGTGTGTGTGTGTTGCAGAGGACGACAGATGCAGTTGTCTTCATGGAGGGACGTGTCTTCCTCACGGAGAGGCTTTCCGCTGCTTCTGTCCGCAGGGATACGCCGGAGAGAGCTGTGAGATCGGTGAGAAACTGATGATTCACCCAAACATGAACCTTTCTGTCCTTCATGGCGATCCGAACCGTTATTCCTACTGTGGATCAAAAGAAAAGAAAAAACACAGAGACCGGCTCCATAAACACATCATTACATCATTACGGTTATAGAATGTTCGTCACAGTGGAATGTTTCTTTTTAAATGTTTTAGTCTGACATTTTTTAGAATGTTCAGAGAACATTCAAAAGTAACAGTTTCGGAATGTTTGAAGAATGATAGAATGTTCCCTTGGTGTCTTTGAAACATTTCAAAAATGTGAATGTTCTGAGAACTTTCAGAAACGTGTCCATAACGTAATGGGAATGTTGGCACAATGCTGTTTTTCAGTGATTTTCAGTGAATAACGACTTAAATTTCAGTCTGTTCCAAATGCAAAAGATCTTATGACTTCCGAAGACTTCAAATATAGCATATGGACTACTGTCGTGATACTGTAATGCGCTTTTTATGTCTTTTTGGAGATAATAACTAGCAGTATAAACATCGTTTTTGGGTGAATTATCCAAATGTGTAATCTTTTTAACTCATGAACCATCTGTCGTATACAGTCTGTCCAGGGCCGGACTGGGACCAAAATTCGGCCCTGGCATTTGTGGTTTTCACCGGCCCAACTAATTGATGACGTTAAAAAACGTCCCCAGAATCTGAACATTTTTCCCACTGAGACACACCATACAAGGCAGCAATTTAGGCGCGTTTCCATTACAGATTTGCGCAAAACTTTTGCGATTTTTTCTAAATGTCGATAAAAAAACTATTGCGAAATGACGGCGTTTCCATTAATTGATGTTATGCGATACAACGTCCTTTTTTTTCTCTCGCGATAAGTCATTTAAACATCATGGCAACGGGTCTATCAGCCACCACCACACTAGACATTATTATTATTATTAATGGAATGAGACGTGGTGTGTTATCCAAGCATTAATGGCAGGGAAAGACGCATACTGCTAAGGAGTTTCTGGGTGTTTCTCTCTCATTTCTGCCCCGAGGTCTTGATTGTGGCATTTCTTTGAGGTTTAGAATCCAGTATTCCTGAAGCCTAATTATTGTTTATTTTATGAATTTAATAAAGAACTCTGTCCAAACGGTCAGTGTACATTTGTGTCCATTCGTTTTTCCTTTTTTAACCCGTATTGCAAAACGAAAAATGAACGGTGATTTTTTTTTAAATGCAAAGTTAAGCAGCAATTTTTTTTAAAATTTGAACTGTACACAAATGCTGTGCAAAAATAATAATATATCGACTAAATTTCAGATGTTTCTTTGACTTTTTGCCCCTTTATTAAACATTTAAAATATTCACAACTTAATACGAAAATTTTTTAGATTTTAATGGTTTTCTAAGGGCAAATTAGAACCTGGACATTATATTTTTCCCGCAGTGCTGAATGTGAAGAGCCATAGTTATGTCTCTGGAACCACAAGGTGATTTAGGTGAGTTATAGGCTAATGATAATAAATCTGTCTGAAAAAATAACGAGGCATTTTAATTGTTTATTAATAAACTATTGTTTTCTAAATCAGTGTCGGCTAAAAACATATCTCCATCTCCGCTGAGGCGCGCCGCGCGAATGCACCTTTAAGCCTTGTTTATACTCGACGCGTCCGCACGAGCGCGAGTCTCCGCTGACTGCGCGCGGACCTCTCCATATGGACGAGGCGTTTATACTTGACGCGCTCGCCGTTGTGCTATTCTGTGAAACGACAGGGGGCGACTCGGAGTAATTCTCCTCTAAACCACCAGGAATCAGCAGTGAAGAAGTAGTTTGCCATTTATTAGTAGTTTATTAATTTCTGATTCATATAAAGAGTAATAAATGCAGTAGGTTTATTGTACTTTCACTGCATGTAAACTAGTAAACAACTGAAGCCTTATTGAAGAGTGTTTAAACCTTAATTTCATCAGCAGGGCTTACTTCTGCTATTGTAGGCTTATTTTGTAAATGTAACCAATTACTTTATACAAGTGCAAACTGGGTGCTTAATGTAAATGTGTTCCTATCCACAAAATGAGAGGCTTTTATGGTCGCCCATCAATGCAAATGTCTCTGTGTATAGAAGGATCATAAACATGGTGGTACAGACATACCAGTTCGGCCAGATTCGGCTCGAAGTCGTTCATCTTCGGATGCGGCGCCGCGCGCGATGTTACAAAAAGTGCCGTGCACACCGCCAGGCGAAATGGGGTCTTGCGCACCCAACGCGCACGACCGCCCACACCGCAATGACGTCATTTTTGCCGCGCGCACTTCGCGCTCTTGCGGACGCGTCGAGTATAAACAAGGCTTTAGAGAGAAATACACCTTTCATAAGGATTACATCATCAGAATGTATTAGCTTTCGATTCGAATTTGTTCGTTTAAAAGTGGACACTTCAAGCTTTAGCCTAGGCTATACTTTGTTTCAGTTCTCGCGCTCCAGTTCACGGAGATCATGAAAGCGCGCATGATTGTTTTATTTTATTTTACAAAAGCACAACGTTTTCTTGTTATTGTGAGTTTACACAAATAAAATCATAGTGGCGAATAATGTATTATTATTTTCTGTATGACCAGAAATTATAGAGTAGGCCTATTTTAAGTTGTTTCTGTTGATAGGAAAAAGCAAGTGTTCGCGGCCGCGCCTCCGTGCCATGCGCGCTCAGCAAACACTTGGATATGCGTCAAAATCTTGTGTTTATTTGTGATAATCTTAGCCCTGTATTATTATTGTCTAACCATTATGAATGACATTTGACGAATTGCTTTGTTCCTTTTTTTGGATAAAAGCATCTTCTAAATATGTAGCCTAATAACTGTTATAATAATGATGATTTATTAGCCTATTATTTGCGTATATCACGGACCCCAAACACACCGCGTCTTCAGGTGACTGTAAATGCGCAAAAACGGTTTCCATTGCAGTTTTGCGAAATATTCCTTTTTCGAATTGCCTGAAAAACCTCCTCATGCGAGCGTAAAAACTTTTTTGCGATAAAGGTGCAGCAACGTGGTCAGCTCGGCCCAAAACAATAGAAAATCACACCGGCCCTTCTGGCATGTGCCAGAATTGCCAGATGGCCAATCCGGGCCTGAGTCTGTCCTTTACATGTTGTGTTCTTAAAAAAGTAAAAGCTTCCAGTTCATCCTAATGTACTGTTCCACACACACACACACACACACACAGTGCCAGGATCCCACGCTTCACTGTAAGATATCACGAAACGTTCACATTCAAATGATTTACAGGCCTAAAATTGCTCTTTGTATATTAGATATTTTATATCTACAAAAGGATTTAAAAGGTATGAAGTCATTTTAGAAAAGTTATGAAATTAGATTTTTATCAAAACGTGTGGATATCCTGAATCTATTTGATCACAAGATTAATTGGCCCCCCAAAAATGTCTAGAAAGTGATTTGTCATGAATAACTGGAAAAGTTGTTAAAAAGTCTGGCTGTATAAATGTTGGAGCTTCAGACTTTTTTGCGTGTTATTAAAATTTGCATGAATACCTAGAGGAAAATATTCAACTCTGTCTCAGATGTTTCTCCTTAAATATGAGAAATATAAATAGATAATGATGCTATTTTAGTATGATTTATATTATAGTATTTTTTAAATATTTTGAATTAGCTTTTGTTTTTATATTTTCAGCTTTTAATTTAATTTTAGTTTAAGTTTTAGTAAGTTTGTAATGTGATTTTTTCAATTTGATTAGTTTTTGTTGTTTTAAATATGTCTATAAATAGCTTTATTTTTATCCGTTTTTTTTAAGTATTTGTTTGTACATTAACTTTTTAAGTTACCAAAGGAACATTTCTAATTTTCATTTTAAGTTTTTAAATGTTTTATCTAATATTTATATTTTAGCCATTTCAAATTCCCCAAAATAACTCTTAATAATTTAAGGTTTGAAAAATAATAACCAGTAAGAGTTTAACCAGCTCAGATCATTTGATGAGAAATGTTTCATATTGAGATCTTTTGGCTTTGATTTCAGATCATATCTTGTTAAATCTGAGGCGTTTGAGACGTGGTCTCGACCTCTTCTGAAACTCTAGATGAGATGTGTGTGAGACTAGCGGGCCCTTTTCTCAGCAGAAACAACAAGAAACTTGATGTGCCATTTCTCTCAGAAGGATTTTTTTCGATGTTTAAATGCTGCTGCCATATAGGCAGAGGTCAATGCAGAGGTCAGAGGTCATGTAGTCCATCATTTGAGACACAAAGCCGTGCTTTTGAGGGGTCAGAGGTCAAGGGAAGGCTGACAGGTTTATTTCGACCTCATATTTACAGCAGTGTGTTCTGAGATGAAGGTCAATGCTAATTCAGTTTGTGCTTTTATTATAATGAAATGAAAAGGCGAACTGCTTTAGATTAGTGTGTTTGGTTGGTAGTAGGTGTAGTTTTCAATAGATATTTGATATCGTTCATCCAAACCTGAATGACAGACAGCTTTAACTCTCGTGTTTCACTGACGCAAGAAAGATTGTCCTACAGGTTTGGAAGGACATGACAGTGATTTCATTTGTTCTCTCGGAGGCTGTACTGTATATTTGCAGTAATCTGGTGTTAATCTGCGCATGATTTGTGTCTGTGAGCAGAAGACATGAACACTTCAGATGCTCACAGGCTTCAGCTCTTGCCGAGCGGCGAGCGGTTTGCATAATGTATGAGCCAAGTCAAATATTCATGAAGAGCAGAAGTACCTTGCGAGTCTTTAAGACACGGGATATGACTTCAGTAGAGGCTTTTCCTTTCTACTGACGAATATCAACGTGACTGATCATGGAAATCAAGATCAACCCACTGTTCACGTATTTAATGTTGTGTTTAAGGGGGAATTCATCTCGATTTAGGTATGTATTTTTGCACTGTGTGTGTGTGTGTGTGTGTGTGTGTGTGTATAGGGCTGTCGATTTAACACGTTAATTAGTTATGGTAAAATAATGCGTTAATTATTGTATAACACCCCCCCCCC